ATCTGGTTATTTTTAAATTTCTCCCAAATTTTTTCTACTTCCTCATTTTTGGATATTATTGAAATAGTTTGCTTCGTCAAAATCTTTTGCATCAAAAGTCAAATAATGGAATAATTTTTATAATTGAAAAAAAAAAGTGAAGCTCACAGGTGGTTTGAGACGAAACAACTACTTGGCTAAGGCTGTTTGGTGGGCCGGTCTGGGACCGGGCCCGGATCGGGCCCGCGGTCCTAACGGGCTAAACGGTCCCGGCGGGCCGGTCCTGGTGGGCCGGTCCCTGAATGGGTAGGAAGCCCGTGACGGGCCGGTCTCGTACACGAGGCCCACGAGACCGGGACCGCTAAGCCCGGGACCGGCAGGCGGTCCTGGGCCGGTTCAACCGGGCCTAACGGTCCTAACGGGCTCCAACGGCTATTTTTTAAAAAAAAAAAAAATTTTATTTTAAAAAATAGCCAACGGTCAGATTTTAAAATCTAGCCGTTGGCCTTTAATTTTCAACCGTTTGGAACTTTAAAAAATAGCCATTTGGCCCCCAAACTTTATTTTAACCCCAAACTTTATATAATTACACTTTTCCCCAATTCTCAACTATAAATACCCCCTCATTCTTTCATTTTTACTCACCAATTCATCAATCTATCTCAATCTCTCTCAATCTATATCTAATTTCTCTTCTATAATTGCTTATTTTATTATTGCAATTTCGTGAAAAATTGTGAAGTTGGTGAATTGAAGTATTCAAGTCTTCAAGTCTTCACGATCTTCACTTTTCAAGAAGTTGTTCGGCAATTCGGTAAACTCGTTCCAACTCTTAAGTTTTAAGAATATATTTTTGTGTGTTTAGTTTGCATAATTGTAATTAATATGGCATTTTCTTTGAAAAAAATGTTTGGTGGTAAGGGAAAAGCTAAAATTGGTGAAAGTAGTCTCCAACCTACTACCCTTCCCCTGGCTCCCCGACCCAGACCTGTTACCCGTCCTGCTGCTCCTATTATTCTTGATAGTGATAACCCTTGTTTTCAATTTTCCGATAGTGAATTTTGCCATAATGTTGCACAAGGTGAACAATTAAATGAAGAAGTTATGAATGCTCTTTATCCTAATCAAACTATCTTAGAAAATGATGAGGAAAATGAGGATGTAGATGAAACCCAACCGGATTTAGATGATTCACCTACTAGTCCTGTTAATAACCCAACTGATGCCCCGCCCGACCCACCTGTAGAAACCCCTACTTTTAATAGACAACCTTCTAAACGCCTAGAAACATCAATAGTTTGGAATTTTTTTACTCAAGTAAGAGAACAAAATAAGGCTAAGTGTAAAACTTGTGGGAAATTGCTGGCGCATAAATATACTGGAGACCGTAGCGGTACGGGTAGTTTGGCTAGGCACATACAAACACACCCTAGAGATAAAGTTAAATATTTACAAATGAAAGCGCAGCAAGAGGGGACAAGTGTAGATACTGCGGTTAACCCTAGTACAGGTTCAAATCTAGTTCAACCAGGAATTAACACTGTGACCGGTAGTATTTTATATTACGATCCTAATAAAGATCGCGAAGAATTAGCAAAGATGGTTACTGTTATGTGCTTACCATATACTTTTCCTTCTAACCCTAATTTGTGCATTATATTAGAAAAGTTTTTAATCCTACTTATAAAGGTTTGGCCTCGCGCAACAGTTAAGAGCGATATTTATAAATATAAACATGAATATGAAAAATATTGCGGTATTTATTTACTCATATAACTAATCGGATTTCTATTACTACTGATATTGGTAGAAGTAATAATGACTGTGATTATCTAACTGTTACAAGTCATTGGATAGACGAGGGTGGATAATGCAAAAACGCATTATTGCGTATAGAAATAATTAATTCACGTCACACAGATAAGTTTATTGCTAACACCGTTGCAGATATTTGTAGATATTTTTGCATTAGAGATAAAATAATGGCAATTTCTATGGATAATGCTTCTAGTAACACTAGTGCTATAGGCATACTTACAACAACACTAATCCTGCATTTAGTAATTGTTTCCATGTGAGATGTATTTGTCACATTTACCATTTAATCGTCGGTGATGGTATGAGAATTTTAAATTTAGAAATTGAAAAGGTTAGAATGGCTCTTAATTGGCTTTTTTATTCAAACCGTAGAAGTAGACTTAGAGAGTATTTTAAAAAATGTGATGAATTTCGCCTTAGAGAAAGAAAGGTTCCTAAACCTTGTCCACTAGATGGAATTATATGTACGAAAGTTTAGTAGTTGCATATGAATATAGAAACCCAATTAATGCAACGTTTAATGCTCGTGTTGATGGTGAGGATGATGATGAAATCCTTACAAAATCAAGATTGGACGAATGTCAAAATTCTTATAGATTTTTTAGAACATTTTCAAATTGCTACAAATGCATTTCTGGACAATATTATCCTACTATTTCAAATTGTTTAGTTTATATTGCAGCACTATGTGATTTGTTGTTGAATTTTCGGAGGGTGGGAAATTTATCAACTTGCTATAAATGCAATGAAAGAAAAATTTAAAAAATATTTTTTCCCTATCCCCCCTATTTATGGTGTTGCTGCATTGTTAAATCCTACAATGAAATTAGGAGGTCCTCACTTTTGGTACAAAATATTTATAAGGCTTTAGATCTTTCAGTTGAGGAATTTTCTACACTTGCAGAGGCAAAAGCCTCAATTAAAATAAATGCGCAAACAATTTATAATGCTTACCAACTTGCGTTAGATCATGCTAGGCCAAATGTTCCAACCCCTACTTCGCCTGTTCACAATCATCTAAAAGAGCTGCGGGCCTACAAGCACTTAAATCTTGGACGGAGTTTAGGGGTTCCAAGGTGATAATTTTGATGAGACTTCACATCTAAATGAGCTTCAAGTTTATTTGTCGCAGGGACTTGAAAAGGAGAATCCAGACGGCAACCTTTGATTTTTGGAATGGTGGAAGACAAGGGAAAAACATTTTCCGATTCTTGCAAGGATGGCTCGGGATATTTATCTATTCAAGCTTCAACAGTTGCATCAGAGAGCGCTTTCAGTCAAGCAAGACTTCAAATAGGTGATCATAGAGCGTCTATGGGGGAGAGCTTGGAAAAATCAGTACTATTCAGAGATTGGATCCGCTCGGAAAGAAGAAACTTTGGACTTGCAGAATCACAATCGGAGATAGAACGAAGCTTATGAAGAAATGATAGCCGGAACTTGCGGAGGATGCTCTTCGCCCGGAAGCGGTGATGAACAAGCTTCTTTTCCGCCACCACCAACGGAACCCTCCTCCGAACGCTTGAAGGATTTATGAGATTTGTTAGAGATACAATGTAGATTATGGTGTAACTTGTACTTTGGCAATATCTTCTTTAGTTTTTTTCCTTTTAATGGTGGTATTAGTACTTGTTGTGCTCATTCCATTGGGGGAAGAAAGACTAAGAAAGATTGCCATTTTTGGTAATAAAAATTATAAAACATACCCTTGGCCTTGAATATCTCTTCGCAATATTTTTTTGTCTTTAACTTGCAATTATTTATAAGCTATAATATATATACATAACATACAATATATACTACAACAATTGAAATATATATACATAACATACAATATATACTACAAGAAAATAACATAAGGAATATATATACATAACATACATATACTACAACAAATTATATAATGGAATATATACACATAACATACAATATATACTACAAGAAAATATATAAGGGAATATATATACATAACATACAATATATACTACAACAAATTATATAATGGAATATATATACATAACATACAATATATACTACAAGAAAATATATAAGGGAATATATACATAACATACAATATATAGTACACTATACTAGTATAACTATATATATTATATTTACATGAAGAAGTAGTACTATAATAATACTACAAAACAAGATTTTTCAAAATGAGGGCCCCAACCCCCAATGACCACCAACGGTCAATATTAATTGCACAAATAGCCGTTTTTTTTTTTAAAATTTAACAAAACTAACCTTCTCTAACACTATAAGTACCCCCCTCCCTCTTCTTCATTTCAATACTCAATACTCATTTCTCAATCTAAATTTCTCTCAATCTCTCAATCTCCAATTTTCAAGACTTCAAGTCTCAATCTCAATTTTCAAGTTAAATCATGCCTCGTTCGGAAAGAGTGCGCTTATTTGTGTCGCAATACTATGAAGTGCTTGAAGAAAATGAAGAAGGCCAAATATTAAAGTGCAAGAACTGTGGAAGAGTCTTAAATTTTCGTTCAGGGTGTACCACAGGCATTTTAAGGAGGCATATAAAGTATTGTGTTGAGGGTATTTATCCGCAAATTCGTCTTTAAGATTTTTCAACAATTTGTGTTATTTTAAAATTATTAGACGTATTTATGCTTCATGTTGTACTTTGTTATTAATTTATTATGCATGCCAATTTAGTTTTACTATTGATTTGTTATTTTACATTTTCGTCAAACACTTTAATAATTAGATTTCTATATTATATATACCATATATATTTATATAGCCATGCATCAGAGCAATTTATATATATACATACACATATGGTTTACAAGAAATTGCCCTAAATAAAAAAAATTTAAAAAAAAAAAGCCCGGAAATAAAAAAAAGCCCGTTAGGCCCGCTAAGCCCACGAGCCCGGCCCATTTAGCCCAGGACCATATGGGCTTAGGCCTGTCACGGGCTGGTCCTACCCGTTGAGCCCACGAAGCCCGGGACCGCTAAGCCCAGACCCGTTTAGCCCGGCCCGTTTAGCCCATTTAGGCCCGGGCCCGGGACAACATACAGCCTTATACTTGGCAGGTAAAACAAGGTACCTTAGCTTCATAGCATTTCAAAAGGTTATGATGAGTTATTTTTGCTGTTGTGTACTTGCAGTTTCTAATTTTGAATAATTCAGTAGTATATTATGTAACTAATCCAAAAAGTATGCTTTGATCTGTTGAAACTTAGTTACTTAAATCAAACCCATGAAATAATAGACATGATAAAATTACAATCGTTTAGTTCTCACCACCTTCAAGCACAAACAAATACAAAAACAAAAAACTAAAGTTGCTGGTTTTTATCTCATGTAACATTAATATAGGCCATGAGATATATGCTTAGCCATCAACTAAAAGACCAACGAAAGAAGAAGAAAAATGAAAACAATTACAGAAATGTTTCTTCTATTTCCATGGTAGGATTTGCAGAGCACGCCTCTTTTCTGGTCTTAATGCTGTTAAAGTGCCAATATTACCCTTCACATTTGGATCATTTTCTTTCATGTCAGCTTTCTGGGATTGTTTGTTTGGGGTTCCATGTATCAGAATGGTTCTGACATTCTTCTTTTTAACAGTGGAATTCAAGTGCTCCGCCAAAGATGTTTTAGCTACACCTGCTGGGGTAAATGGTTCTTTCTTTTCAGCCAAGGAATTTTTTTTCTCAGACATCAAGGTATCTTCACCAGCAAAGCCTAAATGACATGACAAATCCATAATTGGTATAGTCAAAGTTAAAAGTTCGAAATAGAACATACAAATTTGGTGGATGAAAGTTTACCTTCCTCAATAAAGCTAATGTTTGCACGAGATTTATAAGAGGGTGATACCACAGGTTCTGTTGTTTCATGCTCCTTTTTATCAAAAGAAAACTCGTCCTGTTGATTAGCCTCGCAGGACTTCCCCTGATCACTTTCACTCTGAGCCTCTTCACATAATATTCCAGGCAGGTCCATTTGTGTGGTGAGAACTGAATCCTTAACATTCATAGACGTGCTCTCATTTGATTCAAAAACGGTAAGTCTGTCCCTCTGAACAGCAAGATCAACTTCCTTAAAAACATATTGACTTTCAATTGTTGAAGCAGTAAACTCCCTGGTGCTTGCAACATTTTCTATCACATTATGTTCTGGAAAGTGGAACTGCTTATCAGCAGGCCAAACTATTGAGATTTCTTTTGCATCTTCATCATTATTCGGAATGTTGTATTGGAAAGCATTACTGGTATTTCTCACTTCTAGGTTTTGTTCTTCATCTCCCCTAGTCTCCTCTAAAGTGATGATAACCTTTTCCTGACTTCTTAATGTAGTGGATTCAGCATCAAAATCAAGAATTCCACTCTCTGAAATTCATAAAGATATAAGCAGTTCTAATATTGGAGAGAAAAATATTAATAGAGCAAAAAATTCAAGATATTTGAAAGTAAAAAATCACAAAATCTTCATATAATTGCCTCTTTGGCTGTAAGACGAGGAAAATGGATGGCCTGTATATACAAATTTCATGCAAAGAGGAAAGTTTTTTTTTCTTTCTTTGTAGCTCATACAGACTTAATGAACTCACCAGCACTAATAGAAGTGCCATCAGTCTTCCTTAAGCTCTCCTGAGTTATGTTCTCAGTTTCAGTGTCACTTAGAAGCATGTTTGGTTGTTGGCAAACTGCATCACTAACAGAACCACCTTTTGCTGCTTCGTCTTCTGGAGATTCCTGAGATGTCATTTGACGATCGTGCGCCTGGCCCTCAGCAAGAGCATCATCTTCTGTAACTTCGCCTTTCTCATGCAAGGGCTCGAACTGAGGGACAGAATCATTTTCTACAGCATTGGCAGTATAAATGTTAGTATTATGCATCTATTCAGGGATTATGCAAAATAGAAAATGAGTAAGGTGTAAGAGTAAATACTATATTCCCTCTATACCGTGTTCCAAAAAAATTAATTTAAAAAGTTTCATGCATCTGATAAATTAGTTTCTTGTTCTTCCACTGCACTTTATTTTAATCATTACAAAATTTATCATTGTGACAATTGAGAATTCATTATAGTATAATCAGACTTGCAATTAATGTTATTACCAATCTGCAAATTTAATTTTGTATTGTTATTTTTAACATACTAATTTACCATAGGAGGTGGTTGAAGATTTTAAAGACAATGCAAATGAATTTTGCACAGAGCAGCTTTGCAAAAACCGTATACAGATGTTATTAAGAGTGTCCTTTAGTGCACATGGTTCAAAATGTTGAAAAGGAATAAAAAGATTACCTTTTTGCGTCTCCAGCTCCGTCTCTCTGAGAACACTGCCATCGTTTGTTTGAAACCAATTGAGTGTAGCTTCACCAGTGTCATCTATCATTTCATTAAGAAGTTGACGACCTTCATACTGTGCAAAACTTTGTTCCTGAGAGCTAAGGAACTTACCACCATCCATATCCTTAAAGATATCTTCCTCACAGCAAGGACTTTCCTCCAATTGCAGTGGACTTGTACCTTTTGATGGTGTAGCAAACAGAGGCCCTCCTTTAAATTGTTCTTCATTCTCCTTGAACAAGCAAGATCCTTTGGTGCTACTAGAACCTCCAGCAATAATCTCTACAGTTAGTGGCTCTCCGGAGAATTCAGACCCTTTGCACTTAGGCTCCTTACCAACCATTTCAGAGGCAGTTGCAATCATTGCTGTCTTCAATTGACAAGTAGAATCTTCATCCAATTTGGAAGGACTTGTTCCTTTGATTGGGGTAGCAAACAGCAGTTTCAAGTGATCATCACTATTCTCTTCATTGATGGCATCATATAGTTTGATGGACTCGGGACCGGAAGGATTTGTTCCTTTTTTTGGTGTGGCAAACAGCAGTTTCAACTGATCTTCACTATTCTCTTCATTGACAGCATCAGACTGTTTGATTGACTCAGGACTGCTCTTATGGGTCTCCAGCACCATTTGCTGTTCAGAAAATTCAAGATCGTCGCATGCAGGCTCTGAAATAACAGCTGAAGTGTTTTTGTTTGCAATTTCAACATAAATATTCTCTTCCGGATATTCAGAGGTATCTATTAGCAACAAATCCTTGCCAGCCACTGCTTCCTCAATTTCGGGCTCCTGAAGAGAACTTTCAATGTGCTCCAATGCTTCACTGTCTTTAGAAGGTTCACAACTTTCTTTTGCTTCCATGGTTCCCAAAGGACAGCCTTGACTTTTGTTCCTAGCCTTGCTATCAATGCCTTTAGTCGAGAGAGCTAATTCTGTTGTATCCCATAGGCAACCAAAACTTTCCTCCAATTGAAGTGGACTTGCACTCTTTGATGGTGTAGCAAACAAAGCCCCTCGTTTGAACTGTTCTTCATTCTCCTTGAGTAAGCAAGATCCTTTTCTACTCTCACAACTTCCATCAATGATCTCCACAGTTAGTGGCTCTCCAGAAAATTCAAACCCTTTGCACTTAGGCTCCTTACCAACCATTTCAGAAGCAATTGTAATCATTGTTGTCTTCAATTGACAAGTAGAAGCTTCACTCAATCTGGACGGACTTGTTCCTTTGATTGGTGTAGCAAACAGCAGTTTCAAGTGATCTTCAGTATTCTCTTCATTGTAGACATCATCAGATGGTTTGCTGGACTCAGGACTACTCTTATTAATCTCCAGCATTTGCTCTTCAGAAAAATCAGCATCGTCGAATGTAGGCTCTGAAATAACAGCAGAAGTGCTTTGGTTTGCAATTTCAACATCGACATCTTCTTCCAGAGATTTAGAGGTATCTCTTAGCAACAAATCCCTGTCAGCCACTATTTCATCATTTCCGTGTTCCTCTATGTCAACAATTTCCTGAACCCTGCTCTCAGGTCTTGTATTCATCCCTTGGTCTCTAACCATTTCTCCCGACATTGCAACATCTTCTGTCTTAGGTTCTTGAGAAGAAAGCTCATCTTTCCGTAATGGAGTCATGCTTTTAGCTGATGTTGCAGACAGCATATTACCCTGACCTTCGTTGTTCTCTTCTTCAAGAGAACTGGATCCTTTAATGCACTCAGGAGTTTCTTTGATTTTCTCAACTGTAATATTGTTTTCTGATTGTTTAGAATCTATGCTGTCAGACACTGACAGATCCACAGCACTTGGATTTGCAACTGCTAAACCTGTGTTATGGGAGAGCCCTTGAGCAGAAAGCTCTTCTGTCTTGCTTGATGATCCATCCATTTGATTCAGAGGCTGGGTATTGATGGTTGAAGCAAACAGCATTTTCAGTTGATCTTCTGTGCATCAGGAATTCAAGCTATTAATGCACAATCAAGCAGCTAATAGAAGATGATAGGAGGAGAGTTATATTTACTGTCCACAGTAAGAGATAGTACTTCGGAACTAACCTTGTTCACTTTCATCACCATAGTTGAAAGAAGCAATATGTGAGGTTTCTGGAGCTATAAGAAAAATAAGTCTTCGGTGTTACTACAGGAAGCTTACACAAACACAAACTGCAATTAAATACATTATGGTTAATGGGGGATAATTTACTACCTTGGTCGACTCCAGCAGGTCCATCTTCACATTCACCAACATTTCTTTCTAATCCACCGCAACTAAAAGTCTCCATTTCATGACTCTGACTATACTTTCCTTTGGTAGAAGTAGTCTCTTCATTAGTGCTTTTCACAGAGATTGGTGAGGCAGATAGATTCTTTAGGTGTTCCCCTGTTACAATGGACATCTCTAAGCAAATGTTAGAAAACAAAGAGAAGAACAAAAAAGAAAGTGAAGAACTGAGAAAATCCAGAGGGCAAACAGAAACTGGTTTTCCAAAAGATCATATCGAAAGAAAGGGATTTCAGAACCAACCTTGCTCGTCCTCGATCAATCCACCGACAGGTTCACTCGGATTTCTTTTTCCACTGGAGTCAAGTCCTTCTCCACTCAATTGACTTTGAAAATGGTAAGGTTCGCCTCCAATAGATCGTGAAACAATTAAAGGTGTAGCAAACAAACTTTTTAGCTCTTCTCCGGCTGCATCAAGTTAATGAGTTACACATGCTTTATGAAATTTTACAGAAGCAGGAAACGAGTTTAGAAATACCTTCTTCGTCTTTAGATGTGTCCTTTAAAGGAGTTACAGGTTGTGTCAAGCCATTGCCAGCAGAGGGAAAAGCTGCATGTCAAAAGATACTTACAAAGTGATTAATGAATATGGTGAATGATGATTTAAAAAGAACTAAAGGCAAATTGGCAATGACATTAACTGGCTTGTTAATCAACAACCTAAATTTCGAAATAGGGCTTCATAAAAGAACATAAATCAAGCAATAAAATGGCTAGGAAATCATATTAAGGAAGAAAAACTAACTGTTCTCATTTGCGAGGCAACTGTGCTTGTATTGACTGCTTGTCTCATTCAACTCGATAGAAGTTGCTATTTCTACCTTGCTGCTTCTACCACCAAATGGTGTGGCAAACAAACTTTTCAAAATTTCTCCTGTAACATATAGTAAAATCAAGCTGTAAGTAACATATAGTCTTTAGGGAAGAAGAAGTCCAGGACTAACCTTGGCCATGTTCATCACAATCACGGACAGAACTTTGAAGACTTAAGTTATCAGTGGTAGAAGAAGCTGCATAAAATCACATAGCAAAATGTGGGAATTAAAAGTGAATTACAGCAATAAATGACACAAATTAAACATGTAAAAAGAAGCATTTTGAAGCTAACCTTGCCCCCTTCTGTTGAGATTCTCATCAATTTCTCTATTTTTGACCTCTTTATCCAAAGTAACTTTATTTTCTTTCAACCTTGAATCACCTTCCAAAGAAGCTTTTGATTCTTCTTTAGAATGTGAAACATCACAAGGAGTGGCAAACAAAACTTTAAGTTCTTCACCTGTTGCAACAAAAGGTAGAGAAATGAGCAAATTAAAGAGAACAAGGAGGTAAGTAAACCTCATAACTACCTCGCTTCTCTTCATCACTGTCCTCTAATGCGATGTCATCACCAAAAACAGCAGGTTCTGCAACTAAACGAGATGTCAATGACAATAGTTCAAAAGCAAACTGGAGAAAAGGAAAGGAAAGATTCGGTTACTTAACTGCAAAGTTTAATCATTATGAAGAGCATAACAGTCGCTCTTGCTTAGACGGAAAATACTACTATGTTTCAACAGAGCATCACAATGTAATACGTATGAAATTCCTATGATCAGTAAGAGATGAAAAAATACTACTTACCTTGAAAATCTAGAACTGCTTTTATGGGACTTGAGACGGTTTTCTCGGAAGCAGCCGCCTCAACTGAGCCTTCACTGTCATTGCTGTGTCCAAGCTGCTGCATACCTTGATCAGGTTCATTATACTGATCTTCCAAGTACCCGTCTTCATTATCACTGTTGTTTCTGAGCTGCCCGTCATCTATAATCTCCTCTTGTCCTTCAGTAGCCTCGAACTCTATGGATCTCACACCCTCATCAGGTCCATTTTCCTGATCTTCCAAGTACCCGTCTTCATTGTCATTGCTGTTTCTGAGCTGCTCATCATCTATTATCTCTTCTTGTCCTTCAGCAGCCTCGAACTCTATGGATCTCACACCCTCATCAGGTTCGTTTTCCTGATCATCCAAGTACTCACCTTCATTATATTTAGCTAGCTCCGAAGAAGTTTGGATACTACAATCAAGACTGTTTGTGGGCCTGAATGTTGACTGTTTTCCATGATCACAAGATTTCTCAAAACTGAAGGCATTAGAAAGGCCTGCTGCTACATTCAAACGTTGAGTCAACGGCTAGTGAAATGCAAAAAAAAGGTAGAAACATTCATAACCAAACATTAACAAAGCATACCATCATTATCAGGTTGAGATATTGGCGAGAAGTCCTTAGTAGTCTCCTCCAAGTTTGCAAATCCTTCTGCATGCAATTCACCTTGAGTTGTGAAGGTAGGTACATCTCCATCACATTTAGCAATAAATCCAGCTGCTGCTTTTTCCATGGGAGGACCAGATTCAGAATTTTTAGCTTCCATCTCATTGCTCAGATTGAAAGCACCTACACTGTCCAATGAGACATTACTAGACAACCCCACATCAAACTCTCTGGCATAGTCCGTTACAGTTAGCTCCTGTTCACCAGAAGTTACTCCTTCAGTAACAATAAATCCGGTCTCTGACTGTTTTTCGAAACAAGACTCCAGGTTGCCCTCCATATTATCACTCTGGTTTAGTGAATAGTTATCAAGAACTTCATTAGATAAACCCGTGTCAAATTCATCTGCATTATCCGCTGCAATTGCACCATGCTCCTTTTTGTCAAGAGTTAAGTCATTTGGAACTGCATCATCAGCCAAATTGCTTGCAGGCTCCTGTTCACCATAAGTTACTCCTTCATCAACAATACATCCAGTCTCTGATTGTTCTTTAAGGCCAGACTCAAGGTTCTCTTCCATGTTATCACTATGGCATAGTGAAGAGTTATCAATAACTTCATTAGATAATTCAGTATCAGATTCTTCTGCATCATCTGCTGCAATTGCACCGTGCTCCTGTTTGTCAGAAGTTATGTCATTTGGAATTGCATCATCAGCCAAAACAGAACTAGGACATAGGCCTTTGCTTGCAGGCGCTTCATGGTCAGACTGCAAAAGTTGCTCAACTGCGTTCTCGTCGGGTCTAGCTGCAAAATACAAAAGAATGAATTAGCATTCTTCACAAGAAAATGCATAATATTAACTAATGATCAGATACACTACCTTTGGAGCTGAATGGATCACTGAATGGAGGGCATTTAAATGTGGAGTTATTTTCAGACGGAGAAGCATTTGCATCTACAAGTAGTCCTTTCTTCTTCAAAGTTTCAGCTAGTGTGCTAGAGTCAGCAACTGCTTCAGCCTTGGTTCCAGCGAGAACTATATTAACATCATTTTTAACAGCTTCAAGCTCATTCAGTCCTGATTTTAAGAAGCTCGTAGCACCTTCTGACCCTGAGATATCACAGTCTTTACTGTCTGACTCTCTCACTACTTCCATATCCTCAGATGTAGGATCTTCTACTTCCACATTTGATATCTGCTGCTTCTTTCCAGCTGTACTAGTCTTTTCAACAACTGCTGGCGCCTCCACATTTATTTTTGTTCTACTTGTGGACTGTTTCAGAGCATCTAAATCTTGCAGGGCGAACTTGTTCTTGGTAGAACTTTTTTCTGGAACAGCGGTGCAGTCACTTCCCTTCTTTTCATCTGAAACTGCTATAAGAGTGAGACTAGCAGCACTCCTTCCAGAAGGTCTCCTCTCTTCTTTCATAACAAGAATTTCTTCTTGCGCTGAACTATCCAATGTCTCGGTGACTACATTGGCTTTAGCAGCACTCCTTTCAGAACGCCGTCGCTCTTCTTTTACCGCAGCAATTTCTTCTTTCACTGAACTGTCAGATATCTTGGTGACTACACTGTCTTTAGCAGCACTCCTTTCAGAATGTCTCCTCTCTTCTTTTACCACTGCGACTTCTTCTTGCACTGAACTGTCAAATATCTTGGTGACTACACTGGCTTTAGCAGCACTCCTTTCAGAACGTCTCCCCTCTTCTTTTACCACTGCAATTTCTTCTGGCACTGAACCGTCCAATATCTTGGTGTCTACATTGGCTTTAGCAGCATTCCTTCCAGAGCGTCTCCTCTCTTCTACTTTATTTTCAGCAATATCATTTTTAGCCGGTACAGAATCTTCGACTTGTTGAGCAAGCCCTTTTGATCTCTTCAATGCCTTCTGGGGTTCTTCTTTTGTACTTTTACCCCTTACCTTGTCATCATTAGCATCTAAATTTCTTTTTTCCTTTGCGGCTGCAACTTCATCAGTTCTTAATTTCTCCAAAGAAGGAACAACAGATTTGCGCCGATTACTTCTTTTGACAGGAGCTTCTCCCGGTTCTTCAAGTGTGATACCCACTTCAACAGTCCCTTGAGACTCAGTTGGCCTGTCCGTTTTACACCGAGTCTCCACTGAAGAAACGTTTCTTTTCAAGTTAGATTGGTTTCTTGCTGTCATGCCTCTATCAACCACTTTATTTTCAGCAATATCATCTTTCGCCAATACTGAATCTTCCACTTGTGTAGCAAGCCTTTTTGACCGCTTCAATGCCCTCGGGGGTTCGCCTTTTTTACCTTTATTCGCCATCTCGTCATCATTAACGTTTAAGTTTCTTTTCTCCTTTACAGCCACAGCCTCATCACTTCTCAATTTCTCCAAAGGAAAAATAGATTTGCGCCTATCGCTTCTTCTAAGAGGAACTTCAACCTGTTCATCAAGTTGAGGAACCACTTCTGATGTCGAAGCTTCTACAACCAAGTTAGACTGATTTCTAGTCCTGTCCCTAGTAACCATCTTATCTTTAGAAATATCATCAGTCAACCTTGCACCCTCCACCTTATTAGGTAGCCTTTTTGACCTCGTCAAAGCCATTTGAGGTGCCGCCTCCACCACCCTATTCTGCTGAGATCTTCTTGTGGTTGCTTTAACTTCATCATTGGCAGCTTGAACTGTGAATCTTGCACCCTCCGCCTTAGTAGCTTGCCTTTTTGACCTCTTCAAAGCCGTTTGGGATGCCTCCTCCACCACATTATTCTGCTGAGACCTTCTTGTGGTTACTTTAACTTCATTCTTGGCAGCTTCAACTGAAGATTCGACAAATTCTGTACAAAGCAGTTTTACATTTCTCTCAATAACTTCCTTACCCCTCGTTTGGTTCCTTTTGTTACTCACATCATCCTCAACTGATTTCAAGTTCCGAGACCTTGTTATCCGTTCTGCTGGCTTCTCCAAAACCTCATCCCTTACTTTAGCATCAACCTCATTTGGGACATGCGAGGTCTGAGTATGAGCAATCTTTTTCCTTCTCCCTCCTCTTTTCATCTCCTTGGCTTTCGTTTCAGCTTTCATGCACTCCATTATCTGATCATCACTAGCAAACGTGACTTTCTTGTCCCTCTTCTCTGCCCTATCAATTTCTTTTTCACTCGTACTTTTATCCAATTCTTCTGCACTCTTGTTAGCATTTATCTCACCTTTTACTCTTCTACTCGTCCTTAAACCTTCATTCACACCCTCATTTTCCTCCCTTCTTTCTTGTACTGATACTACATCTTTGTTCCTCAAAGATCTTCTCTTGTTCATTCCAACTTCATCCTCACTCTCATTCACTAAAAGTATGTTATCTTTTGTACGCCTTGTCCTTCCCTTTTTCTCACTAACACCATCTTCCGAATTCATACCCCGCGACCTCGTAACCCTAACTGGACTATCCAAGATGCCTATCTTTACACCATCGCTCCTAACGCTCAAGCTGTTATTGTGCAACATGGACTTCCTCCTCCCTCTACTTTTCACTTCAACCAATTTAGTGAACTCGAAAATTTCATCGTCAGGACTAAACTTCACTTTCTTTAGTGTCCTATCTACAACATCAGACTCTCTATCATCCACAGTCTCATCGAAAACCTTTAAACATGACCGCCCTTGAGTTAAGGGCTTTTCATCATTTACCTGCCCATAATCACACAAATTTAACCAACAACTCAAAATTTCTTTTTAAACTCAAAAAACAAAAAAGAATTACTCATTACCTTAAAAATTGAAGAAAGTTTGTTGGCCATTTCCAAGTTAGTTAAATTTGCAGGAATTCCATGTTTCTTGCATAGGGCTTGTAGTTCCTTCCTTTTCATATTATCAAAATCCATCTCTGCTATTTATTCATTAATCAACAATAAGGCAAAAAATTGAAACAGAAACAGCGAAATTCAAAGAAAAAAGAGCGAAAATTGGAAGGAAAATCATACCTGAGATTGAGAAATTGTCACGAATTGAACATGGGTTTTCAGTTTTCCTTATTTATTTTTTGAATTTTGGGTACTGTTAGAATTTAAGGAAACGATAAGGATTTGAAATTTGAATTTACTAGGCTTTCCCGCTTCTCAAGGCAATACGACACGACTTTTTGTTTAGAGGATGAGGAGGTCACGTGCAGAAAAGCGCGTTAGGGACTTTTGCGATGTCAGTTCTGGAGCGTCAAAATGGATAAGGAGCTTTCTTTTTTACTTTTTTCGATTGGATACGTGGAGCAAATCTAGTGGTTGGTGAGTGAGAAATATACAAACAGATTTGCAGAGTAAGCTTTATGTTTGAGATTTATTTCAAAGTTGCTGTGTATTTAAACCAAATTTAAGAGCCCGTTTGGACATAAGATTCTTTTCGAAAATTTTTCATTTTTTTTCAAAATCAATATTTGACCATAAAATCCTAAAGAGAAAATTTGAAAAATTCCAAAAAATAGTTTTTCAAAATTTTCACTCAGATCACTCACAAAATTTCAAAAATAACCCAAAATTATAGCACAATTCTAATTTTCAAATACCTTTTTCACTTGAAAAAAAAAATTATTTTTTTTAAATTTTACAATTCTTATGTCCAAACGCCCATTTAATAGGTAAAAATAAAAACAAAATTTAATAAATTCAGAAACGAACTCAAAGATATTTACCATGCCCTTACCTTTCCTAGATCAACATTCAACAACACCTTTTCATTTAATGCTCCCTCTCCTTCCAATTGGAAAGGCAAAATCTTGGATATTTTTTCCCCCAAGAAGCCAATTTCAATAATTAATTACTGGTCGTAATATTATGTGTTACAACTTACAAATATGCATAATTTGACAATTTAAGCCAAAATGTGTTGCAAAGTAAGGAAGTACTCACAATTACAGTAAATGTGCAATCTCCTCAATAACAAATGAAATTTTGACAACAGTTGGTTTTTACATGTAGAAAAGGGCCATTCAGTAGCATTATAATTATGCAATTTTTGTTCTTTCTTTAAGAAAAAAAGAAAGAAAGAATGGGTGTCATTCATTTAAAGTAACTCACATATACAACTGCTGTTTGACTATTACACATTCCCCAATGCGTCCTTTAAATGGCGACATGGCAATTAATTAAGACCTAAAATCTTCAATTTCGTTTTAAATTTTCCCGGAATCTCGATTGGAATTGAGTTAAAATCGGGCAGTAAATGTTTTTCGAGGGCTTTGATAACCGTAGGGTGTTCATGGTTCGGTGTGGATCCATTTTTCCCTAAAAAGAAATCAAATCAAATAAGTCGGTTCTTCAAATATCGAAACTAGGGGTGTCAATGGATATTCGAAAACCGACCGAATCGTACCGCACCGAACCGAACCGATGTTTAGGTTTTTTTCAAAAAAAAATCGTAGATTTTTATATAAATCTATAACCGCACTGATAATTAGGGTAGGCTTTTTATTTTATAAAAATAAATCGAAACAATACCGAAACGTATAGAATAAATTTTACATGTGGAAAATATATTTATATAGTAAGTTTAAAAATAATAATGCATTAAATTTTTCTTTGGGCCTTGGAATTATGAAAACTATTACAAGCCAACAAGTAATTAAACTCAAAATAAAACCTATTATGTTACTTCTACTTAAACTAAGTTGTTTCAAGTATCTTAGCAAGACACAAAATATTCTAACGATTATGAGTAGCAAGCTATAATGTATTGAATATGTTTCCTTTCATACAATTTAGATTTATCTTTTTGAATATTTAATCTTCTATAGACTTTATTCTTGAGTCCTAGCTTGGTTAATATCTTTCCACTCATTGATTTATGTTTTCTTTGACTTTGCTTGGTTTCTTTTACGCTGTTTTCGAATAGTTGATGGATTTATACTCTAGCCATCTTTCATTTTTTTTAATTCATCACCCTTTGAACAGTAAAAATGTCTAGAGAGTTTTATTACCTCTTATAAAAGAACATATGTTATTGCATTCTACTTCTACTAGTGATTTTTACATAATATTTAAAAAAATACCGAAAATTAACTGAACCGTACCGATACTGAAGAGAAACCGCCATGATTGGGACAGTTTCGAAAAGTCTAATTTTGATTGTACATAATAGAATAACCGAAAAATTGGTATGGTACTAATTTTATAAAATAACTGGCCGAACCGAACCATTGACACCCCTAATCGGAACCAAACCAAACTAATTAAGTCGATTTTTTATCGATTCTATTTTTGTAGGTTTTTTTGGTTATTTATCAGGTTTTTTCTTAAATATGAGACATACACTACCAAACACATATTCCGGCGACTACATTTTCAACGTAACACTATTAAACCAATTGCTCTTTGAGAAATCTATCGTTTACCAAGATATTTGATGATAATTGAATCAAATAGTGATGAATAATTTAAATACTCAATTAAAAATCAATTATTTTTAATATAAAATAAATTTTGTACTTAGCAAAAGAAAACTATCAATCAAACTAGAATGTAAAGGCAAATAATTAGATTATTATAATAGCAAAGAACTAGACTAAAAATACAAACGACTAATATGTGCCATAAAATTTTAGAAACTTTATGTGTGTGTGTGTGTGTGTGTGTGTGAGATACTAAATTTAAAAGCTACTTCTATAGTCGGTTTGGTTCATTTTTTCAGTTATTTTTTTATTAAAATCAAAACCGAACCACATTTGATTCGGTTTTAAAAATTCAAAAACCAAAACCAAACCAACCTAAAAGTAACTTGTTTTTTGGTTCGGTTTGGTTCGTATTTTCGTTTTGTATTCNATCGGGCCGAGATCGGACTCCGCTCATGATAGCGGTGGTAGTGTGAATGAATTCCGGAAAAAGGGAAAATGAGATTGTGATTGAAGTATATGTCTCAAATTAGGCAACCCAGCCGATCGGGTCGAGATTGGACTCCGCTCAAGATAGTGGTGGTATTGTGAACAATGATGATAAACTTTATGTGTGTGTGTGTGTGTGTGTGTGTGAGATACTAAATTTAAAAGCTACTTCTATAGTCGGTTTGGTTCATTTTTTCAGTTATTTTTTTATTAAAATCAAAACCGAACCACATTTGATCGGTTTTTAAAATTCAAAACCAAAACCAAACCAAACCTAAAAGTATTGTTTTTTTGGTCGGTTTGGTTCGATTTTCGTTTTGATTCGATTTTTTGGGGTTTTATGAAAACCCTTAAATGTATACTTTTCATCCAATTTGGTAGTAGTTTTATTGTGAAATCGAATTTATTCATAAAACGTGTGTTATGTAATGTTTGTGAACGGAGGCGGATCCAGGATTTGAAGGTTGCAGGTATCGTATTACTTTAGACTTTGACTTGATCTCTTCTGAGTTTCGGTTTGGTTATTCATCTTTTGGTACAAATCGATCAAATAAAATAATTTAAAAGCATAAAACTTCAATAATATAACTAATATCAACAAAAAATTAGTAATGTATTATTCATTTACAATTGTCTTCATTGAATTTTCATATTCTGGAGTTATGGTTTGACTAAAAGATGGGCAAATAGGACTAAACTCGCTATAGATACATATATAGATACTCAGAACAAAAACTTACTTAATAAACACTTGTTTTTTTGATAGAACACTAGAGACTATGAAATAGAAGCAAGAATATATATCGGGACAAGGTGGATGTGGCCCCTATTGAGGACAAGATGCGGGAAGTACGGCTTAGATGGTTTGGACATGTGAGGAGGAGAAGCACATATGCTCCAGTAAGGAGGTGTGAGAGGTTGACATTGGAGGGCCTTAGGAGAGGTAGAGGTAGGTCGAAGAAGAGTTTGGATGAGGTGATAGGCATGACACGGCACAACAACAGCTGACCGAGGACATGAACCGTGATAGGATGGTGTGGAGGTCGAAGATTAGGATAGTAGGTTAGGTAGTCTAGATTATTTATGTTGGTAGTGTTAGTACGTACTATCGCATTTGGTTGGTAGTAGGCTTGTTTGAATACCTGTCGCTTTTTTTACGTTTTGATCATCTTACTATCTTGTGGTGCATACTGCTTTTACATGATTTTTCGGTGTTGTCCCGTCTTATTTTCTTGTTATTATTGTGGTACCTACGCTTGCTTGAGCCGAGAGTCTATTGGAAACAACCTTTCTATCTCCACAAAGGTAGGGGTAATATTTGCGTACACACTACCCTTCCCAAATTTCACTATGTGAGATTATAGTGAGTATGTTATTATTGTAATATATAAAATTAAGAAAGTCCATCGGAACTCCCAAGGAAAAAAGAGTCAGCAGCAATTGAAGAAAAGGAAAAAAAAGAAGGAACAAAGAAAAGAATAAAAAAGGAGAACAATCTCCTGTAAGCAACAAAATAGAATTAGTTATAAGAAATGCAGTAGCCAGGGCTCGATCCCGCGCTCTAAGGGCGTAACATTAAGCCATGTGCCAGTGGCACCAAGAAGCCATTTGTACTCTAGGTGCCACTTTACTTATTTACTCAAATTTCTAAATATACATACATATACATATAGCGTCCTAATCGAGGTGTACATGTGGCGTGCCACCCCCTTCCTCCTTAGTAGAATCGCTCTGTATACGGTCAAAATCGGGCTCGACCTTTTTATGATTAATAGAGACCGGGGGTGACATGCCAAGATCCAACACCATGTCATACCGTACCGTGATATGAAGTTAGATTGCCAAGCCCGAGATCCTGAGACCGATTAAGATCGAGACCGACCAAAATCAAGACCGGCCGAGATGGAGATCGACAAAGATTGGGATCAAATAACATGGAGACCGAGAGAAGCTTACTGAGTCGAATAACGAAAAGATGAAATATTCTCAATCGGGCGAGGATCATGGCGTAAATCCCGGCATGTATCAAGAAGTGGTGATTAATTAGCCAATCATGGGATTTCTTACTGTATTTAGGATTGTACCAAGAATAGGATTCCTCTAATATATAAAGGGGGTCTAACCATTTGTAAAGGGCATCACATTCACTTTACATAAAGCAATATACTACTACTTTCTTGAGCTCTCAATATTTTTGTGACTTTGTTCAT